GTGGTTGATTTTCGAAAGCGCAGTAAACAACCGGCGAATAACGTCCCCTCGGAAGATGAGACAACCGCTGTTGCAGTAGCCACGGGTGAAGTTCTCGTCCTAGATATTGGGGGAGGAGGAGGTGGGGGGGTCCTGGTGACTTGGCAAACCTTGGACCCGCGGATCGACGACCGTGTGTGCCGCCGTTCTCCACGCTCGCTCAAGCTGCCAAAACCTTATCATGACTAAAAGTAAACAAGAGCGCTGGAATTTGCTTGGTTTTAGATGCAAACAGGCAACAGGCGGTCGCTGATGGGCAGGTGTTGGAGGAATTTGATTGGTGGCGGCGACATTTTTCCCAGCGTCTGTCATGAAGCATTCTGGGAGGAATGGCTGCGCCGTCTATTGCCGTGCTCGAGTCGAAGAGGCGGCCTTGATTTTGTTATTATTTTTCATCGCGGGCCAATGCAGATACGAAGGCGAGGAGCTTTGCTGATGATTCCTGAGATGAAACCGGCATACAGTTGTTGCATTGTCCTGCTGCTGTCTAAAAATAATAATGACAATTTTGACTCTTGTTTCAGTTGGTGGCCTAAAAGCGAGGCTGCGCGCAATACACACGCGCAAGTATGGGCGATGTCACGTGACATGCAAGGCATGATGGGAGGACCAATCCTATGGTCACAATCGTACCATCGGCTGTTTAGAAGTCGCCTTTTGTGTGTATGAATACTCTTAAAAGTGTGCGAGGGTTGTTATTGTTCTTAGAAATGTTATTTTTTTATGGCCTTTACTACAATAACCTGTATTATCATCAACCACTGTCTACTGCTGGCTAAAGTCCACCCCATGCCATCAGAAATCCATCTCACTCCTCTGCGAGAGTCCTCCTCTTGGGTGCATACTTTCTTTTGGGGGTCATACCATTTTGCTGTCCATTGGCTATTATCCCTTCTCGTGATGTATCCTGCCCAGGCCCGCTTACTCTCATGAACAGTCGATATGAAATCTTTGATTTGCATTTGTTCTGTGATCCATGTGTTCCTCTTTCTATCGCTTTAAGCGTAAATTCCAAGTATGCATCTCCCGATGCACCATTCGTGCACTTTTGAGCCGTCCCATTTTCTTTGCTTTCTTTTATTTTTTAACTAAAATGGAATTATTACGATACACGGCTGTAATTATGATTTACATACTTTTTTTTTAGTCATACAATTGTTGGTTTACTCGTCATGCGTTTCTTAAATATTCGCAGTAGAGAGGTGCAAAAATTATGAGAAAAAAAATAGACGTTTATTCATGTGGAACGTCAAAAAATAAAAATCTGAAAAGCATGTGGATATGACATGTGGCACGTGTGTGATTTCGCTGTGTTGTGAGTTGGTCCCCGCTTTTTTAAGTCTTACATTCTGCCGTGTCCTCGTCTGAATACGACAAATTCCACAATTTGTCAACGCACCTCGCATCTCAAAATGCTTTTACAAAAATTAACCCAAAAAAATCACATTCGGTAGAGAAGGGGCAATGGGGATGGTGGGGGGTGGAGACAGGGCAGGGTAACGCGGGGGCCGAGGAGAGAGAGCGGTGCTGCAGCACAGCCCAAGATGAAGCAACCAGGGCCCGTCGTCAACAGCGACGACGATGCTGATGACGAGCTGCGGGGGCAGCCGCGGCAGTCGGGGCAGCACCAGTGAGTCAGTGGGCAGTATACATGGATCAATCTTCATCGCGGACCGCTATTTCGCACAAACGATACCTTAGCCTGACTCCGAGGTACAAACTTCTCCGCCGAACACGGATGACGGTCAAAATAAACACGTGGACTGCGTAACCAGCTGAGCGTTCATTGAGACAAGTCGCTGTTGGGAGGCAGACCGGCTGCGTGAGTGAGGGTGAGCAAGTGGACGTGGGCACGCAACCCACGTGTGGGTGTGGCTGCATATCTGCGTGTGTGTTCGTGCTGGTGTCCGTTACTATACAAGTCTTGCCCTGCAGTCTGTGTGTACGTTTGTGTTTTGTGCGCGCGCTGTGCATTGCAGCGAGTGGTGGCAGAGTGCTTTGCGCACTGCGTTACAATTATGATGACCCGGGTTAAATTGCTGACGAAAGTGGCTGCCGAGTGTTGTGTGTGTGTGTGTTACGCATCCATAACACAGGTTTTTTTTGGGTTAGATCGCGTAGATATAAATGTGTCGTTAAACCCGCCACACCTGACACAGCCAGTTATTAAGTTTATTAAGGTTTCTCACGTAAACAGGACACACAGCCAGGTATTAAGGTTTCTCACGTAAACAGAACACGCCAATTTGTAACTAGTACAGCACACCGGTGTGCTGGAGAGCAAATCCATAACATTTACAATCTGAGTACTCAGATTTGGCATGTTCTGTTTACGTGACAAACCTTACTAATTGGCTGTGTCGGGTGGTGGCGGGTTTAACAACACATTTATATTTACGGAATCTAACCCAAAAAAACCTGTATTATGGATGATATTGGTCGCGAAAGCCGACGTGTTAAACTATGTCTAACTTCCTTCGCACCGTACATAGCCAACTGGCCATGGTGCTGGCCAAGCCACCCGCTTGTGTACCCTGCCACCATCAGTAATGACCGTACTTGCTGCGCCGCGCGTTTGTGGGTGCGACTCTGCAATTCTGCGGGAAAGGCATTGTAAGAACAATCTGTTCACGTTTAGCGCGGTAATAAAATGGTTCTCTTCTATACGCGTCGCACCAGACAGCTGCGTGAGAACGTGTTTAGTAGCTATCAAAGCCCAAACAAACCATTCTGTTAAATCGTGTGATAATAAAGCTTTATGTGCCTCGCTGCAATTTTCATTGCTGTAAAATTGCCCCCGACCAATCCTTCAGGGCGCCATTCCCAGCCTTGCTAAAAGGGTATTCCCCAATACTTTATTCTACCTTGGAAGGGGATTTAGCATGTACACACGCCTACCATTTTTCCTACCCCCCCCCCCCCCCCACATCTTATTGCCAAGCTTACAGATGTCATTTGTACACACGTAGCCATACGTACACGAATCGCACCTCAGTTGGGATTATACGTAGCAACCATCGTCCGCAACTTGCGTAGGCTTGGCAGGACTCTCCTGAAAAAAAGTTCGGTGGACTTGGTGAGGCTCCGATCCCTCCGGCGAAAGAAGAGCGTACAAGTGTTGTCATCACATCAACGCCTCTATTTAAGGAACGAAACAGTAAGACTTCACAGATCTGGCTGTCGCCTGATGAAGCTAGTTATAATTACTGGCGAAACGTCGTACTCAGATTGTAAATGTTGTGGCTTGGCTCTCCAACACACCGGTGTGCTGTACTAGTGACGAATTGGCCACGTTCTGTTTACGTAACAATCCTTACTAATTGGCTGTGTCTGGTGGTGGTGGGTTTAACGACACATTTATATATTTACGCGATCTAACAAAAAAAAAACCCTCCCTCCGTATTATGGACGATTTTGGTCGCGAAAGCCTACCACGTGTTAAGATTCTATAATACTGCTTCTCGTGTCTTTATGGCAGCGTGATGTGGTCAGAGCGCCCTCTGCGGTAACAATCCGCCCATTGCGTGGGCTTTGTATGCCGTGCAGCAGACAGTGGGGGGGGGGGGGGGAGAGGCGTTGGGTTCGTGCGAGACTTGAACGTCGTTGTACTTTGTCTCACGCGCCGGTGGCTGCGACCGTACTCACAACGCACGGCTTTGCCTTCGAAAGGCGAAACAACATACTAAGACCCCCCATTTCCCGCCCCCCCTCTTTCGATCTAAGTTAGCTGAACAGCAACAGAAAATGCCCCGCGGAATGTGCGCATCCCTTGCGCATTTTTTGGGTTGTCCGTTTCATGTTTTGTGTGCGCCGACGCCGCCTGCCTGGGATGTGAGCGACGTTTTTAAACGATAATAGTTTCATAAAAAATCGAATTATTGTTCCCGCCGTGTCGGTGGTTGTCTGGACATTGCATCGAGAGGCGTGTTTGTGTTCGCTAACGCAATGTCGCCATTTCCAAACTCCGGGGGTGGCTGTACGCATTGTAATGCATGATACAAGAGGGTGGTTCAAAATTTGTTTTTAACACTTATATGGGACTGTCGTTTTTTTATGAAAAATAACGAATAATACATTGCAACATGATAACAAATGTATGTTAATAGCTTCAAAAAGTCAGAATCTCTCAACTTGTTCGCCATCGTTGTCAACGCGTGGCTTGAATCTTCCCCAGGTGGTCTCCGGAGCCTGGAGGGGCCACATTTCTCGTGGTGTTGTTGCAAATTCTCGGAAGTGTTAACATGTTTTTGAAGCACCCTGCATTATCAATGCCATTCTGCGTTTGGCTGCTCTTTGGTGGAGAGCTTTTGCAGGGTGCTAAGCACACGGTGCCTTGCGCCCAGCAACCTGGTTTCCATTCTTGCCATTTGCACAGCGGAGCTGTGAGACTGTACCTGGGCCTCTACTGCGTTGGCTTTGCCTGAATTGAGTACCTGGTACAATGTAAATGAGTACCTGGTGCATTGTGTAAACATCAGCACCAGGGAGACAGGAGGCTGGGCACTCTGCTCACCACAATACTCCCTCGTGTGCCATACAAGGCTTAATAGGGGCCCGCTAACAACATTTATTTGCCCCCCAACGTTCTGCGGAGGCTATAAGGGCGGCAGGGGTTGGGCAGGGGGGGGATCTCTGTCTTTGTGCTCGAAACCCCCTGGCAGAGACCCGAGTTGGATTCTCACTCAAAGCCAACATCGGTGACGATTATTTGAACCTGGTCCTGGGTCTCCCCTAGGTCGAATCAGCGTTAAATGAGTACACGGTGCGATGTGTAAACATCAGCATTGGGGAGACAAAGGCGGCCGTGCGTGGTGCTGGCCACCCGCCCACGCATGCGCCGTGCCGGCCTTCATAGGTGCTGCTCGCTATAACAGCACTTGCCCCAACAGTCTGTTAAAGGCTCCACGTGATGGGTGGGGTGGGGATCTCTCTCTTTGCGTGTGTCCGCATGCTTGCAGCAGGAGGACCTGTTGGCCCAGCAGGCGTTTGAGGAGGCTCGCAGGCGAGCGCGGGACTTTGAGGACCGGGAGAGGGTGCACCGCGAGGATCTGGAGGTCAGATAGAGCTCTCGGCGACACGCGGCGGCGTCGGCGCCGCCAGGCGTGGCCTCTCGGCCCTCCCTCAGTGCTGCATCCCCATCCCCCACCCCCCCCGCTGCCAGTGGGGTTCAACTGCTGATGGCAAGTGCAGTTAGTGAGCGCCCGTTACGGACTTGTCGAGGATGCGGGCGTCAACGGAGCGCTTCTGAGTGTAACGTCCGAGGCTGATTCGATGTGGTGGGGGAAGTGGTAGATGGATTCGGATTGCCCATTGGGTGTGCATGGCTAGGAATCTTGAGCCCCCCATTGCACTGGGGTCCGCGAGAGGTCAGTTTTCCCAATGGACTCGGGCGCATATCCACGCGCGTGTACGTGAGTGTGTACGTGATTGCACGTGCGTTACACGCAGAACCGTACAAGATGGAATGCACCGTTCATCACGAATTACTGAAATCCGATTGTAAAATAAAATTGTCATCTTCTGTTTCTGACAAAATGGTGCACGTTGTTTCTGTTAGTATTCAATGCTCAATAAATGTCTCCCAGTACAACCACAATGGGCATAATCGCGTGTTCCTATGATTGTGTGCTTGTGGGTATATGTTACTGTGCCTGATTTGGCTTACGCACAATTGCACCTGCGTGCGTGCCTGTGTCAATGTGTGCTACGCAGCAAATCTCTGTGTGCACGCACTTGCTGTGTGTGTGATTGTACGTTCACGTGCGTGCGTTTGTTTTCCGCGTGTTCCCGTGCGACTATGTACGTCTCCACCGGTGTGCGTTTTGAGATTGTGCGTGTGTGTGTGCGTGTCCGCATGTGTGGTGTTTTTATTTTATTTTTTTGACCCAGGGGAGGAGACACCCGGACACGAGTCCCAACTCTGGAGGCATGAACAGCGCAGACGAACTCAAGCTCCGCTAAACGAAACCAAGAACCCCGATAAATATCACTGCCTGAATAAAAAACGGAAAACTTACAAAAAAAGTGTTTTATGGAGTTCGAAAGGAGAGCCAAAAAAGCTAACGAAAATTGCGTTGGATTCTTTTAACTTTTTAAACAAGATGCCCTCTATTGCTTCCTTTATATTCCTCTTCTAACGATAAAAATATAATTTCGCGAATATAGAGAAACAGCGTTTAAGCAGCTGGTGGCGGGCATCTGGGCTTGGCCCACTAGCCGTCATCGTATGGAGAAACCTTCCGTGGGGCAGCTGCTCGACGTTTTGCCCGCTGCGTTCATCACACAGGGACAGGAATAAACTTGTGCACGAGGGGGAGTCATCTGATAGATGCATTGGCTTTTATTTCTTAAGGGGGGGGGGGGTGGCGTGTGGGGGGGGGGGGGGGGAAAGGTGCCTAGAATCCATATGAGTGCATTGTTAACTGATAAAACGCCAAAAAAAGATATATATATATGAGAGAGAAAGGCATGTAACACGATGAAAGAAACGAGAAGGACTTGCCGTGCGTGGAAAGTTTTTTTTTTCTTTCTCCTGGAGATATTTCCGAGATGAGTAGAGTGACCCTGTGGAGGCGCAACAAAGGGTAAGCCGTGGCTGTGATGTCGGATGTAATTTTACCCCCCCCCCTTCTCGCTCTTTAGACTGCTCGTGATCAATAACTGGAAGCCTTCGGGAATCTCGGTCCCTAGCATCCCCATGCGCTGCGACGTAAATAACCTCGGCAACTGACCTCGGCGCAGATGTACGGATGCGTTGCACCGATCTGTTTTTTCTTTTCTTTTAAAGTTTATACGAATAATTCAGTTTATTCCGTGACGTGGCGTTATAAATCGTCTCTGTATCACGCTTCGGACTGAGCGGCATTTCGCTGTGGATAATCGCAGTCTGTTTACAATTCTTGTTTCTCGGCAGTGCTAGGGATAGGGGGGGGGGGAAATGAGTTTAATCTTGACATCACATTCACATGGCCAGTTTTCACCCGTTTTTGGAAATTAATGACGCAACAGATGGATTTCAGTTTTGCCTTGCTGCAGTTGGGCCAAGACATTAATCTTTACTGGCAGCGGGGGCCTTACACAAGCAAGCATAAGAGAAAGTAAGATTATTGTGATGTTTCCTCAATTGAGTTATTGCAGGTACGATCAATCAAATATTTAAATATGTATCATACCTGGACCTCTCAAAAGCGAACACGACGGGTAAACATACCTTTCACACGGGGATGTCTGATTATTATTTTGTGGTTATATAAACGTTGTTCTTTGTTTCAAACACTCGGCCTTTTCAAAGCGGGTGCGAGTCTAACTAATCATCTCGTTCCAGGCTTTTGTCCCTGAGGAGAAAACAGTTTCCCTTATTTTTGTAGGGCCCAATTGTGCTTTAAGCGCGAGTAAACATTTGGAATCAATGTGTATTTTTCTTTGAAAAATATCACACGTTAAGTTAATCTATCCCCGTATGCTCGGGTGGTGGTGGTGGTGGGTATATTTTGTGGGGTGGGATCTATGCTATCTATCGGTTTGTAATGTTTTTATTACAACGAGATCGCATCGGTTTGCAAACGTAGTGGATGTAAATGATTCCCCTTTTTTATGACTCCACAAACTTTTCTTTTAAAAAAGAAGAGAATATATTTTATCTTTTAAAATCAGTGATTATTGAACATTTCCACTTAATTATTCACAGCCCAAAATACAATTCATCCAATTTCTTGAAACTTAATTGATTCTCCTTTCTCCATGCGCGGGCGGGAGGGGGTATAGGAATTCGGTATTTTTGTTGCGTTTGCTAAATTGTGGCGCTGCATTTATTGATGATCTAATGCAGTTGGGTGAGTTTTACATTATCTCTGTTTGGTTTCCCTGAAAACCCCATGGCTCCATTTATGGTGAAGTTTGTATTGCCACTCCCCCCCCACCGCTTCCCCACCATTGGCTAATGCACAGCAGATAGGAAGTTTAATAACGAACCTACAGTGCAAAAAGGTCATTTGAAGGCTAACTAATCATCCCGTTCCAGTGGGTAGTGTACTCTGTGACATAAACAAATACAAAAAATGCGAAATTAGCTTCGTTGTCAAAAAAACAAGCAAATGTTCTTCACAGCCTAAATTGTAATTACTTTTTTGCCGGTTAAAATTAGCAGCCTTTGATCAATTAATTATTCGGAATTATGTAAACCACACAATTACTATAGCTGCGTAGTTCTGTATAGATATCGTACAGCAAATTAAACAGCACCAACACATTCAATCACTTAGTTAAAAAAATATTATTTTAAGTGTCACCTCAAAGCAAAGTTCAGCTGTCGCTTTATTAAATACGTAACGTAAGTCCTAATTAGTGTTTTTTGCGAAAGATGCCCCCGAGGAATGGAAACCAATCGTTCATAACCACGAGGGGGAGAGGGGCCTTGTTATCTTATCAAATGCGAACTGTGGACGGGTCTTGGCCTACAATATGTGTTGTTGTTGTTTGGCAATGGCACCTCGAGTTGTATGTTCATCATCACATTTCACCTTTTTTGAACACCCTCAACGTCAATCCAACGTTGTGATGGTTCTACTTCGTATTACCCTACCGCATTCGCGTATCTCAGCTGTTACAGAAACTGCCATTGTCTGTTTTGCACTATTACGTTTTGTTTTATATGTGTGTGTTTATTATTGATTTGTACGCTCTTTATTTTATTAGATAGATCATCGCCATGTTTGACCTATGATCAAAGCTTTTTCGTGCTCGTTTTTAAGTAAGTCTCATAGGCGGACGCTTTGCTGTTGTTATGCTTTTGGCCTCGTGTGTGTTGTTTTAACCCTTGCAGCTGCCGCAAGCATGGGAACGTTAGATGTCTTTGGTACCTTAACGCCACCACTTATTGCAAATCTAATTCGCGTACGCTTCTTATGGGTTATCACTGCTGGAAAACAAAAGCACAATTAGTAGATTGTAAAACTGAAATATGTTGGTCATGATGTGTTTTTTTTTATCAATTGTATTATTTTAAATTGTTGATCTATAGGTATGGGATGTGGCTTGTGCATTCATTGTTGTTAATTTTGCTTAAACTGTTGTACGGAATGCATTTGTGTAGCCTGCATCTTATAACCACAGCGTTCAGGAAATATTCTTTCAAATAAGTTTTACGGGGAATCAAATGCAGTATTAAAATAAATCCTAAAGTGGAAAATTATACAATCCCTAAAGCTATTTCCGTTAACATATATACAGGTCCAATACAAAATAGTACATTTCAAAAAACATTGAAGGAAGCACATAAATAGTTATCACTGTACAATATGATCCTTTGAAACATGGTTTAATTTGCTATCAGAATCAAAATACATCCCACGTGACAGGATAAAGCGTTGAAAATCACTTGAGGATAACAGTGGTTGTGATACAGTACTGCAGTGAGGGAAAAAAGTATTTGATCCCCTGCTGATTTTGTACGTTTGCCCACTGACAAAGAAATGATCAGTCTATAATTTTAATGGTAGGTTTATTTTAACAGTGAGAGACAGAATAACAACAACAAAAATCCAGAAAAACGCATGTCAAAAATGTTATAAATTGATTTGCATTTTAATGAGGGAAATAAGTATTTGACCCCCTCTCAATCATAAAGATTTCTGGCTCCCAGGTGTCTTTTATGCAGGTAACGAGCTGAGATTAGGAGCACACTCTTAAAGGCAGTGCTCCTAATCTCAACTTGTTACCTGTATAAAAGACACCTGTCCACAGAAGCAATCAATCAATCAGATTCCAAACTCTCCACCATGGCCAAGACCAAAGAGCTCTCCAAAGATGTCAGGGACAAGATTGTAGACCTACACAAGGCTGGAATGGGCTACAAGACCATTGCCAAGCAGCTTGGTGAGAAGGTGACAACAGTTGGTGCGATTATTCGCAATTGGAAGAAACACAAAAGAACTGTCAATCTCCCTCGGCCTGGGGCTCCATGCAAGATCTCACCTCGTGGAGTTGCAATGATCATGAGAACGGTGAGGAATCAGCCCAGAACTACACGGGAGGATCTTGTCAATGATCTCAAGGCAGCTGGGACAATAGTCACCAAGAAAACAATTGGTAACACACTACGCCGTGAAGGACTGAAATCCTGCAGCGCCCGCAAGGTCCCCCTGCTCAAGAAAGCACACACACATGCCCGTCTGAAGTTTGCCAATGAACATCTGAATGATTCAGAGGACAACTGGGTGAAAGTGTTATGGTCAGATGAGACCAAAATGGAGCTCTTTGGCATCAACTCAACTCGCCGTGTTTGGAGGAGGAGGAATGCTGCCTATGACCCCAAGAACACCATCCCCACCGTCAAACATGGAGGTGGAAACATTATGCTTTGGGGGTGTTTTTCTGCTAAGGGGACAGGACTACTTCACCGCATCAAAGGGACGATGGATGGGGCCATGTACCGTCAAATCTTGGGTGAGAACCTCCTTCCCTCAGCCAGGGCATTGAAAATAGGTCGTGGATGGGTATTCCAGCATGACAATGACCCAAAACACACAGCCAAGGCAACAAAGGAGTGGCTCAAGAAGAAGCACATTAAGGTCCTGGAGTGGCCTAGCCAGTCTCTAGTCCTTAATCCCATAGAAAATCAGTGGAGGGAGCTGAAGGTTCGAGTTGCCAAACGTCAGCCTCGAAACCTTAATGACTTGGAAGATCTGCAAAGAGGAGTGGGACAAAATCCCTTCTGAGATGTGTGCAAACCTGGTGGCCAACTACAAGAAACGTCTGACCTTGTGATTGCCAACAAGGGATTTGCCACCAAGTACTAAGTCATGTTTTGCAGAGGGTTCAACATTTTTGACATGCGTTTTTCTGGATTTTTTTGTTAGTCTGTCTCTCACTGTTCAAATAAACCTACCATTCAAATTCTAGACTGATCATTTCTTTGTCAGTGGGCAAACGTACAAAATCAGCAGGGGATCAAATACTTTTTTCCCTCACTGTATATATTCGAAACCATTTGAGAATTAGATAATCGACGTTTGCATTGCCTGGGTATAGGCATCGGAATGAAGCATCCTGCAAATGTAGAAATGGGCACGCGGCTACATTAAAATAAAACGAAGTAGGAGTGCGGGCGAGTCTACTACCAGTGTCCAATTCAAATAATATCACTGCCCCTCGTACCCATTAAGGCTTTTACATTTTAAATTGTTTGGCTATTTTCACATCTGTTGCCCTTGCAGCGTAGCCCAACCCCGCCGGTCGAGTTCACAACATCTTCCTTTCTTCTTAGCAGTTGTGCTCAATCTCAGACGCTCCATCGGCTGCTCCGTGAGCACGTGGCGGGTGTCTTTGGGCGAGCGACCGTTTAGTCCGGTC